AATAAGATTAACATTAAGTTTTAGGTTCTTAATACATATTGCAAAATCATTTGAAATGATTTACAGTCTCAAGTGAACTATATGAGCTCATCATATCACACCCTAACAAACAATCAATATTATCCTTATTCCTATTTTTTCCAGTTCCATCTGCAAAAAAACCCCATAATGTAATTTACATACTTTTTGATGACTATGAGGTTAAATATTCTCTGTATATATATATATTGACCATTTATGCTTCTTATTCTGTTAATGGTCTATTCATTGTTTTTGCCCATCTATTCTATGCCAAAAGCAATAAAGAAATCACAAAGGAAAAAAAAAAACTTATTGGCCTATAATAAATTGGGCCAGACTTAAAAGGAATCAAACAATGGGCTAAAAACTGGATTTATCATGTTATACTTTTTCATTTGTTCTATTATTTCTTGATTTTGGTGGGAGACAGAATTCTATTTCTTTTAAAAAAATTAAAAAAATATGTTTGTATTGATTTCAGAGAGGGAGAAGAAGAGAGAGATAGAAACATCAGTGATGAAACAGAATCATTAATCGGCTGCCTACTGCACGCCCCTTACTGGGGATCAACGCTGGCATGTGCCCTGACTGGGAACCGTGATCTCCTGGTTCATAGGTTGATGCTCAACCACTGAGCAACACTGGCCAGGCTATTGTATTTCTTGAAGAAACTCTGAGATTTGTTGCATATGCATGCTTTTGTTTTGGTCTAGCAGTAGGGACAGCAGTAGATAAGAGTAGAAGTGGTTAAGAAGAGGGAAAAAATGGCATACACGGAAGGAGAATGCTCACATTATGGATTCAGTAGATTTTTGTAGGACGTTTTAAAATTGATAAAACATTTAAAAAGAAAACGTTATATAGTGAAAAGGAAAACTCCCTTCTATGATAAACTTTTCTCACTCCCCCACCCTCTAATCCAAGCAACCACTGTTAATGGTTTCCTGTGTACCCTTCTCCAAATTTTCTATTACATATGTAATCACATATGTTTAGGAGAAATGTCCTATTTCTTTCATTCTTACCCTTGATGTGCTTTAGAGCTCTTTCTATATTAGTATATAAGGCCATCTGATTTTTTAAAACTTTTTAATTG